GAAGGAGGGAAGGAAGGAAGGAGGGAAGGAGGGAAGGAGGGAGGGAGGGAATGAAGGAGGGAAGGAGGGAAGGAAGGAGGGAAGGAGGGAAGGAGGGAGGGAAGGAAAGTAGCCAATGACAGGAGCAGGTCAGGCAGAGGGGGAGCCTGAGTGTGTGAAGCCCCTCCTCCCCCCAGACTGAGTCACCTCAGCAGAAGTTTGGCTCTAGTCTACCAAGCTGTCCCAACAGCACATCTGTCTCTCCCAGAAGCCCTCTCTATAAGTCCTACACACATAGGCCCTCCTCTACAGGGACTGCTTTGGGCCAGCGCACTGTGGGGCAGGGTTACAACTTGGTTATAGGACACAGGGTTGGACCTCTGCTAGCCCATGTGCCATACAGGAAGCCAGTGCGTGGAACGAGGAGTTTCTTCATTACCACTGAGATGCCCTAACAGCCTTTAAAGTGGCCATCCTGACCCTTCCCTCCCCCCATCTGTCCTTGAGCACATTACTCCCTGTGGAAAAACCCTTGAGTTCAAGCACCTGAACCCAACCACCAAAAATCTCAGATGAAATTTTGACCTGGTTCCACATGCCCCTTTTTTTTCTTTTTCTTTTTTTTGAGAAGAGACATCAATTTGTTGTCCACTTTTTATGCGTTCATTGGTTGATTCTTGTATGTGTCCTGACTGGGGATTGACCCACAACCTTGGCATATTGGGACGATGCTCTAACCAACTGAGCTACCCTGCCAGGGCTCACATGCTCTTGCTGTAGGACCCTGAACAAGTCATGGGCCTTTTCTGACCCTCCTTTTTCTCAAATGTAGAAAAGGAATAATAATAAACAGCACCTCTTCACGCTGGAATAATACATATTTTAGGGCCAATCCTGTGCCTCAAGACATGAGGGGTGCTTTCCTCTCTCCCTGCCTTCCATGCCAAGTGGCCAGCCTGGGTGTCTCCGAGTGCCCTGTGATTTTCATCCCTGCCATCTATCCCCCTTCCTCACCCTTGCCATGCCTTCCCTAAAGGCCCAGGCTGCTCTACGGTCACCTGTGTAACAGACTAGCATCACCAAACTCTTCATATTTGGTTTTCTTATTGGATTTTGTCAACCCAAGAGGAGTCTCAATTCCTGCTCAATAAATGTCTGATTTATTGTCTCCTCTTGATCAGACACTGCAGGCCATCACCTCCTAAATTCTTCAGATACATATATTCATTCATTCGTTTGTTCACTCAACAAACATTGCTGTGTGCTAGGCAGGTCTAGGCTTGCTTCCCCATGCAGTCAGAGAATAGTTGTGGGTTTGGAACCCCGTCTCCAGCCTAGCAGCAGGCTAGGGTGAAGACACTGGGCTGCATTTTGCCAGCATGGCCAGCAGGGGGCAGCATGTCCCCACAGCAGGGCTATAGGGCAAAATAGCAGGGTTGAGCTGAGGTGCCTTCAGCCTGTCCCCTCACTCGGCTCTCCCCTCCAGGGTCAAAAGAACTGAATGTTGGGCAGCCTCCCCAGGCAGAGCCAAGCTCCTGTTCCCAGTTCCTGTCTTACTTCTCTTCTTCCTCTTTTTTAAAAAAATATATTTTTATTGATTTCAGAGAGGAAGGGAGAGGGAGAAAGATAGAAACATCAAAGATGAGAGAGAATCATTGATTGGCTGCCGCCTGCACGCCCCCTACTGGGGATTGAGCCGGGCATGTGCCCTTGACAAGAATCTAACCTGGGACATCAGTCTGCAGGATGATGCTCTATCCACTGAGCCAAACCAGCTAGGGCCCTGACTTACTTCTCAAGGTTGTAGGTAAGGAGAATAAGAGGGAAAGGAAGGGGAAGGGAGGGCCAATGTCCAAAGCCCCAGACAGTGACAACAGACCCCAGTGAAGCTGCTTCTCCAGTGAGCCCACTCCTTGTCCTCCCGGGACTCCCAGTACAGTGCTGAGTCACCTGAGGATGGTGAGAGAAAAACAAGTGTGCTCTTATTGACCTTGAGAGCAAAGTTAGGTGAAGCTTTGGATGCAGAGGCCGACCTTGGGCAGGGCCGTGGTGCCTTTGGGGGGCTCCA